TTCAAACACTCCTTTAATGTTTATCTGCACCTGAAATTGTTTAAAATACTACATTCAAACTTTAAAAGTTCGGTAATAAGTATTTTTGAAATATAAAATAATAAAAAATGAGAACACTACCACGCATTTAACAAAATAAAACCGTTTTAACTGGAGGTGAAAGGTCTCGAAGACGAACACGAGAATACATCAGAAACAGTCATAAACTCCCAATTTTGTTTTTAATCGGGCACTTCCCTGTATGGAATTTCCGAAGTAACGTTAAATCCTTCGAAATAATGAGTCAAAAATTCGAACGTTGGGCGATTTTCCGGTTTGGTATCCCAACAGTTTAACATGATGTGATAAATTTCGTCTGGTATATAATGAGTGGCAGGTTTGGGCATTCGATAACCTTTTTCGATTTGTCCGATTACCTCGCGACCATGCATTCCCGGATATGGCACTTGTCCGTACGTGAACAGCTCCATAAGAAGGACACCGTAGGACCATACGTCAGATTTAATCGAAAACTTCCCGTAGACGATGGCCTCGGGGGCGGTCCATTTCACTGGGAATCTAGATCCTTGTTTCGGACAATATTCGTTATCCTCTATAACCCTGGCGAGGCCGAAATCACAAATTTTCGCGATATTATTTTCCCCGATAAGAACGTTTCTGGCAGCCAAATCCCTGTGGATTAACTGTTTCGATTCCAAATATTCCATTCCGGAAGCCACCTGGAACGCTATGTATATTAAGTCTTCGAAGCCAAGCGTTTTACCCTCATCTTTGCGCAGAAAATCTAGCAGACTTCCTTTAGACATGTACTCCTGTACTATGTAGATTGGTTCTTCTTTACTACAAACCGCGTAAAGAGCCACGAGACGTTTGTGACGGAACTTTTTCATGATCGCAGCCTCCTGAAGGAACGCTTGGGTCGACATTGTACCCTCACGTAATGTCTTGACCGCTACGTCGATTGAATTTCGCCACTTACCATAATACACTTCGCCGAAGTTACCTCGTCCAAGACGTCGAATGAGCTGAATTTCTTCACGAGGAATTTCCCATTTGTCACGGAACGTCGGGCCCAAATCCCACATTTGAGGTTGAGGTTTAGGACATGGCCTCGACAAAACGTGACAAAGTCCAAAAGCATTTTCTAAAACAAAAATAACAATAACGTAAGATTTTTATAATAATGTAAACATGAATTACTTACTCGAATAAGCCTGTACTAATTCTGAAAGAGTCAAAAACGTTTTGTTCGTGGATATGTAGAAACCACCGTTATCTAGAGGTTTTATTTTGTAATGCTTAACATGATGGCCCCTGACTTCCTCCCAATCTTTTACGGATAACGAATACCCAAGTGGGTTGTGTTCAGAAGGACGAACGAGAAAAGTCCCTCTGGGATTCTCTTCAGCCAGTAAGAGCTTGTCGGCTTCCTTTCTCGATATATTTTCAAAGAACCAACTAAAACAAAACACATTCATCACGTTATCTTATTAAATGGGATTTAAAAGTTTTACGCACTCTTCACTTTCAATACTCAGTTCGGGGGCGACAAAATTTCCCGGAATTAGCCCCTCTTGTCTTGTGGTAAGATGAAGAACGGTCCACCAGTCGCCATCAGAGTCGTCCACCACTTCCATGCGATCGCCCTTTCGGAAGGAGACGTCTGTGACATCACGGGCAGTGTAGTTGTACAGGGCGATCACAATACGACTCTTGGCAATCGGATTGGCCGGGGGCCTGGTGGGTGTTTGTCGTGGACGGATGATGTCAACATGACTTCTTTGGGGATCCGGCGTGTACCGGGGCTCCAAGCCACTGACAATTTTTGCTTAAACATAACATTGTATTTGTTAAAACCCGTTTAAAAACAGAAAACAGAATAAAGGTGCATATATGTGATACTTTCAGTACGGTAAGTTAGCGTCCACAAATTTTTACTTTTCTAATCGATTTTGTAACAATCCCTTTTCAAATCTCGCGCCTCCCACGTTATCTAGTACCGATGCGCCCCTGACTACCCTCATCGATAGCGCCACCAGTTATACTTACCGTCCATTCCTGGAGCTTTAAGACTAGAAAACATATTGTGCGGCTCGGCATTATGACTGTTACTACAGCACTTGTTGCCCATTTTATGATTTTGAAGGAATATTTATCAGTTCATCTGTAACAAATTCGAAAACTATTGATACAACTGATACCAAAATAAGCAGGAAATAGTCATACTAAAACAACATATTGTTATAATTTTCCTATTTGATTGTCCAAGCTAATGACATTATTAAACTCTACAGTACTGAATTTTGCGAAAGTATAGGGGTTCACAACAGGCATAACCAGTGGCGGACTAAGGATAGAGCGGGCCCTAGGGAACATTGTAATTCCGGGCCTATTTTTCAGATAAAATACTTTTTAAGTAAAAATAAAAATTAATTATAAAAGTTAAAAAATTAAAAAATGACCTTCGACAGGCTCTAGAACAACGCTTTATCTACCTTATTACAAAATTTCAAACCTCTGTTCCAAATATTAAACTCATAATATCTAGAACCGATAATCTGAATCCCCTTAAAGTATCGGCACCTTTTGAGTACGTACAGTTAGTACGTGCCGAAGCGGCTTTTATAAAAAATCTAACCGAGTAGAAAAATATTCGGTGTTATTTTTCAACGTATCAGCATTTTCTGAGTACTGTCGGCTCGTGCCGAGGCTACTTTTATAAAAGATGTAACCGAGTGGACCAATTTCAAAATTCAATACAAGAAAAAATCACTAAATTTTTTAAACTCTTGCCTAAAGCTGATTATAACGATTAATTTTTGTCAATACATTGATTTTATTTTGATACATATTGGTTTTATTTTGGAACCTCTTAGAACGTATTCCCTATGATTCCATACTAATTTCATACGGTTTCTATATTCGCGGCATATTTATGGAACGTATACTCCGCGAATAAAAAGATTTTACNTTAAACTCTACAGTACTGAATTTTGCGAAAGTATAGGGGTTCACAACAGGCATAACCAGTGGCGGACTAAGGATAGAGCGGGCCCTAGGGAACATTGTAATTCCGGGCCTATTTTTCAGATAAAATACTTTTTAAGTAAAAATAAAAATTAATTATAAAATTTAAAAACTTAATTTTCGGTCTCCAAAAATTACGGGCCTTAGCCACGTGCCTAGGTTGCCTAGTCCATAGTCCGCCCCTGGGTATAACACACAGTTTCCTTTACTTTAAAATCTCCAACTGTTCCAGAGTTATCCTAACTTGCTAACAATATCATAATAAATAAAGTAAAGGATCAAGAGGTTTCACTATTTAAAAAGGTCAGTAATTATAAAGAGAAAAAAGCATCCAAAAGTATAAATAAAATATGGTAGCACGCCTTTGTACTTACTTTTTTTAAACTAAAATTTGACAAATGTTACTACAATTGCTATTCATTTAAAGGTTTCATTTACTATGATTTACCAGTTCTTTTCAGCATCATCAACGCTCTAACTTCTTATAAAATTTTCCAATAGAAAAAGTGTGGGGTCAAGTATTTCACAAACACTTGAGTACTGATGAAATATTCAGTTTTATCGATTCTTAGTTCTAACACTACTCGATAAAATGAGGTTTGGTATAAAACCAAGTGCTACGCAAAAAAAAAGTATTTAAGATAAATGTGAAATACAATTAAAATTTTATTATCAAATTTTCATAGTTTCATTCTTTTTTTGCACTAACGTCAACTACTGATATAATATGACAACGCTAAATAAAATTTTTATTACTTTACACTATAAAACTATAAATTTTATGACATTACGCCCCTTTTATTACTAGATACTAACTATTTGACCGTAAANTACCTAACTCTTTCAATGAACTATTACTTTAAAGGACCCAATTAGATGTTATGGATACACCTTCATTTTCTCCATAACAGGCTATTTAGGAATACAAATCGTTCTAACACTGGTTAGAACATGTGGCGCGTTTGCTGCTGTTACAGTAACAACTTGTAGAAAGGCTGTGACAATCATAATATCATTCATGTTCTTCAGCAAACCATTTGTATTTAGGTAAGTCCTATCATTCCTTCTACCTTATGACTGTATACTATGTATTTTTTTTTTAAACATAGGTATGTGTGGTCAGGCTTGCTGGTTCTGTTGGGAATTTATCTGAATTTCTTTAGCAAAAGAAGTACGCTATCTACAAGTCAAGTTATGAATGCAATACAACGTAAATTGAAATATGTTATGTGTGTATATAAAACGTCTAAAAAGCATAAAATGCTAACAGAAGTTTGAACATTTCTAATTAAATATAATTTTATACATTTTAATAGGGCATTCTTGGGTGTGAAATAATAATTTTAATTAATCAGTCATTGTTTAGATCATGTGTTGCATGTATTATTTATTTTCAACTACTAAAATCAATTTGTTCAGAAAAAAGTTAATGTATATGAATTCGTGTTCATATTACGTTGTGGCTGTGTTCATTTGATCAAGTTATAATAAATATATCCTACAAATAACTTTTCTTTACCTATGTGCTCAATTTTCCCTAGTTTTTTCTTTGGACTCTTGACACGGACTCCTAAAAATCTGTTTACGAAGAATAACATAATGAACTTTATTGGTGTATACCGTTATTTACAAAAGTAGGTATCAAGTATAAATTTTTAATCTTATCATATCAAAGGAGAATGGCATTTATGCGCTTAAACGTCACTTACGGTCGGATTTTCGTATTTTTCCCGTTTTACTTTAAAAATATAATCAACAGTAATTTGTTCGTCGTAATGATACAAATCACACATAACGTTAGAAAACAATTGCGAATGAACAGAATGAACAGAAAATTCGCCAAAGGGGCATTTCAATAATTAATAAACTATTTTCAAGAGTAAGACTGAAACAAATGTAGAATTTTGATAAACTGATGAAACAATCTATTGTTTTATTACTTAATCTGTAATAATTAAAATATTGCAGACAGAGGGAAAAATTTAAAAATTCCGACTGTAGATACAAAATAGCCAGCCTCTTATATGATACATCTAACTAATAGTTAAATTTATCATTAAACTCGCACATACACCACGAAACCACGACGTCACAGCAAATATAAACCTACTAAATAAATAGGGGGCATTAAAATATTTATAATATTAATCATAATTATAATAATTAGACAGAAAAGCACGTCCTTAAAAATTAAGGAATAACATCTTTACTTTCTTCTTTTAAGAAATAAACACGCCTGTGTTTGGGAAATGAAACGCGTTTAATTACTACATATTTGGCTGTAGTCCACGAAATAAAAAAAAAATAAAGAAATTGTGCATTCACAGCTTTTTAAAACGGACATAATAGTGCATCTTGGCTAATTCTGGAACTTGCGCACTGTACCTTTTAATCGTTACTTATTAAAGATAATCTCGGTGCTATGTTTGTCTTGATATGTAGTAAGTACATGGACTAAGTTCTCTTGAAAAAAAAAAACATTTCTAGAAATATAATAAAGCAAAAAAAATACTTTTTTCAGTCTTCCTGTAATCGTTTTGTAAGTCTTAACAACATTTTACGCCTATGGCACACCGTTTTATCATATTGTTTAGTTTAACGTTAAAATTGTACTAAATCAATACGGTATTCAATTGAAATTATATACGTTCATACCACTTTAATTCTACTCAATAAAAATACCCATCAAACTTTAATTTTTACTTACGATTAGCATCGTAATAACCTGATAATATACAATTGTATAGTATTAAAACATAGTGCTACAATTTTTATTAATGCTTATTTTTATTTGCCCTAGAAAAAAATCAGGTTATTCATAAACGATAACGAATGATATTGCGTTTATTTGAATTGAGATTTTTATGTTTTTGTTGGGTCCAATTAAAATGGTATCAAATTTTGTATTCTGAGGAATTACAATTGCCTATAGATTATTCATAATTTTCCTAAAAACGGATTTTACGACGTGCCATATT